TCCTGCCTGGTTGGATGGCCCATAGGCTAGTTTGGATAGTACTGACCATCGGAGGTTAGCTACACCTGCTGCAAAGTGTGAGCTAGTTTTATATAAACTATGTTTTGGAAATTAAAAACAAAAACAAAACAGGACTGGTCCTTTCCCAGGTTTAGTTTGAATAAAGCTAATTTTGGAAGGCAACACCCTGTCACTTTACAGAGGAAACTTAAAAGTCCATGGATGTAGTGACTTCCCTTGGCTAATGACAAAGTCCAAGCATAGTAGCACAGGAGGAAACAGAAAAGAAAGAGATTAAACAACTGTGCTTTTCATCTTTTCTTAGCCAGTGTTTCTCGCTGGAAACCACCCCTTCCCACCCACCCCTCCCCCCAGAAAAAATAGGGGCTGGCAATATGACCCATACTTTTTTCAGTACTGGGGGGTTTGAACTCAGGGCCTTGTAGCAGTGATTCCTGATAGGCACCATTGTGGCTCAGCTTCTCTGCATTGAGATGGAGTCTCATAAAAAAAAAAAAAATTCTACTCTGGTTGATCCTTCCAATCTCAGCTTCAGCTGGGATTGTCTGAGAAGACAATGTCTGACAAAAGCCACAATCTTAGTATGCTGAAAACAATTTCAGACTCAGGTAAACAGCATAGATATAGTATTTCCATTTTCTCTGGATCTCAAACCTAACATATCTAAATCCAACACTGCTTTCAAAATTAAACTCCCTTCTCAGCTAGACCATTTCTAAACCACTACCCAAACCTGTCATCACTAGATCCCAGAAACACCAACATACTGAAAACAAGGTTGGCATGTTGATTTGTCCTTCAAAGTCCCTTGAGGGTCACTGGACCAGAGAAAACAAAGGTAAAAAGCTGGGTATATATAGGTGTTTTGCCTACCCCAAACACACAAGGTAAGATCAAAGGCATTTATTGCATGAAAATAAAATCTGGTAATGCTGATTCCCCAATTAGGAGTTCTGATTTTAAGTAATTTAGCCAATGTCTCTAACTTCCAATGATTTTATGAGGTTTGAAGAATGATTTCTGCATTTTTTTTCCTGCATCTACTACTGAACTGGGAATGTGGTAAATGAACAGCAAATGGTGAAAGACAAAGGGACAAAGAAAGAAGATAAAGAAGATGAGGATGGGGTCCTGGTCCTCATCACCACAATAATCTATATGTTTGAATCAACCAAATCATTGCTGTCTGTTTAAAGGCTTCCTAAACTAATCCAAAGAAAGCCACCTCCTTCTCAGAAGCTGCAAAGATGCTGGGAACAAGGGGGAGTCCTCAAGTGACTGCCAGATGTCTGGGTGTGAGAGGAAATGAGGCCAAAGCCCAGGAGGTTAGGAGTGGGAAAGTAAGGATTTAAGAGGATTGGGAGACCCAAAAGCTGAGCCAAATCAAAGCACCTCCCCACAATCTCTGTCCTTCACTACCCCCTAGCCAGCCAAGCCATTTGCTACAGCTTCCAGGGTATGGGAGGGGACTTGGCAAGACCACAAAGCCTATTTCTAGCAGACATGTCCATCTGTAGCTGGAGGGAACTCAGCACTCATGCTCTTCCTCATCAGGCCCAGCAAGAGAGCTGCACAGCCATCATGGTGGTCGCTGAATGCAGCCCTAGGTTCCTATACTATCATGGACAGACAGCTCTCCCTTCAGCTCACTCTTGCCAAGTCCTCTTCTTTGACATTCAAAAAAAAGGTTGGGGTCACCAAGGAGGCAGAGGTAAATTATAGGATTTAACTCCAGTCCTTATCATGCACAGGAAAGCCCTCTCTTTCTCCATCATTATATTCAACTCTGCAATCCTCTTAGTTCATTCCCTAGCCTGCTCTAGCCTGATAGGCTTACTTGCTTCCCTATCTCCAAGTTCATTGCTTGTAAACATACAATGGGATCCTCCTAGATTCTTGAAGAGTGCTGGAAGAAAAACCAAGAAAGAACTAGCAGGAGTGATGTACAGTGGGTAAAAAGTTGGGGATCACAGATTCTTGACAACAAGGCATTTCTGCTATGGTCAAAAGGAGAGACAGAAGGCAGAGATCCTGGGCACAATCCCAAAATAGTTTCCAGACATCCTCAGCCAGTGCAGTAGAGTGTTCCCATGGGGCAGAGCGTGGGAGCTGTGTGGGAGCCCAAAAACAGGGTGGCCTGCTGCTCTGGGCACTTGCTCCTGTCCAGACTGCCAAGGGGGGGGGGGGGGAGGCAACGACAGTGTACACTATATGACATGCTTGCTGGGATGTCATGGGTACACATAAAGCACACTAGACAATAAAATGACAATGTGTATTCAACAAATTCAATTCTGTGCCTGTTCCAGGCACTGTGTACACCCATATATCAGGCTACTCCTAAAGTTCTGGCAACACTTGGCAAACAGCACACATGCATATTCTTTCTGGCTTCATTCATGCAAAAGGCTTACTTCCATTGCGTGGGACCACAGACTGTGGCACACACAACACACAGTGATCTCAGAACAAGCTTATACAGCTCACCCTTATTCTTTATTCCACAACCTAATGATGGAAAAGGGGTGAGCAAAACTGCCTCATGAAGGGTATGTAGGATATCATTCCCACTTGCCACCCAAGAAAACCTATGTGGGAGAAGGCAGAACTAGGAACTGGCAGCACTCAGACCTAAGTGCTGGCAGTGCTCAGGCTGAGATAAAGCTACAGATTCTCAGACAACTTAACAATAAAAACAAGCAGATACAATATCAGAACTGAAAGAACATAGCCATCTCTGAGAAAAGGGAAGGGAAAGAACTATTTGAAGGGTTTCCTCTCAAATTTTTGGGGTGCTGGTCCTGGGGCTTGAACTCGAGGCCTCGGGTACTGTCTCTGTCCTCTACCACATGAGCCACAGCTCTACTTCTGGCTTTTTTTTTTTTTTTTGTGGTTAATCGGAAATAAGAGTCTCACAAACTTTGCTGTCTGGGCTGGCTTCAAGCAGCAATCCTCAGATTTCGACCTTCTGAGTAGCTAGGATTACAGGCAAGCCTCTTTTTAAGTAGCCCCTGCCACAGGTCCATAACTTCATGGACCTAGAATGAGAATAGAAACCTCTAGCAGATCTGCAGAACTGGTCTCATCATTCCAGGCCAGAGGAACACTGGCCAGAGAACTAGAGAATACACTGGCAAAGAACAGAAGGGAAGCAGGTCTGCCAAGGAGAACCAGCAGCACCGCAGGCATGCATGCATGCATGCAGGTGGGGTGCTTTGGAGAGTAAACAGACCTGCCAGCAGTCTCCTCTCTCAGCAGAGGAAGTTCAGGATGACAAGGCTGGAAATACACTGGAAGGAGAGACATGCCTCCTCCGTGAGTCCATCTGTCCATATCCTCTTGTCCTGCTTTCCCTGGGCTGGGGCAGAGCAAGGCCACTCAATGATCTCCACATCTCCAGCGGCTATTAAAGCAGGGCACGGGTTGCCTATAACTCCCCAAGTCAACAGTAGGTAGCCAAGTGGAGGTGGAACCTAGGGATTCTGCTCAGTAAAGGTGCAAGGAGAGTGGTAAGCTCACAGTTCTCTGCACCCACGGCATCATCAGTACACACCACCCTCTTCTTGCCTCAGGGCCTCCCAGTCTCATCCCACTACTCTCAGCCTCAGGAAGACATGCTAGCGCCCCTGGAGAGCGAGTGCTACCTGGCTCATCTCCATTCTCCAGAAAGCTTCAGAAGCAGAATTCATTCCCTCCCCCAAGCACTTCCTACTCTCAGATTCTCTGGGATGAGTCCAGGGAACCACCCTGGCCTCTGGATCTACCCTGCAGCCTCAGCTTCACTCAGGAACCCCCATGGCATATGGGGAAGAGAGTCAGCCCCTCCCTATCAATGTTGTAAGATGGCAGGATGCCAGTTTTAGCACCTCCATGAAGCTTCCCACAGCTTTCCCAGGAAGCAGGAGGAGGACTTACAGAGAGAAGAAACTAAGAGCATGAGGGAACACTAGCATCTCACCCACCTGATACCCACACAACCAAGCTCTCCTCCTCCCTTCCTCTCCACTAGGAAGAGTCCCACTGTCCCTGCCCACCTGTCCCCATACTCCCTCTCCCAGTCTCTATGATCTTAGGAGACAGCAACACAGAGCTGCCTCCTACTTTTTCCTCCACTCTGGACCAGCAGAGGATATTGCTGAGTAATCCTAAACTCACAGCAGGTCTTCAACCCCCCAAACAGGAGCAAAGCCCAAGGAAACCTACTGATCTGTGCCAACCTAGGAGGATTATCATGGTGTCCTAGTAATGACATACTCTGCTAGACTGTCCATTCCCCTGCCCCAAATACCCCAATCACCCCCTCCTGCCTTCAGGCAACCAACCACCTGGAGCATCTCAATGCCCCCTTCTTTGCTTCCTACACACCTGGAAACACTTCCTTCCTGGTCCCCCAGACACTAAGCAGCACCAGACTAACAGCAGACACCCGCTGGCTTTCCAAGCCATAATGTTGCATCAGCCCCCACCCTACCCAAAATAATCCTCACCCCCACCACCTCCTCTCATCTCCAGCCATCTCCATGGTGACAGCAGCATGACTAATGACACCCTATCAGCTTCAGACTCAGGAGGATAATTCCCTCCTTCCCCTTACCGTCACCCCCCCCCCCCCCAGGGATTTCTGCAGATTGGATGCAAACCAACAGTGCCAGGGACATTCTCGAGAGATTTCCAGAGGCAGAGAGGTGGGGAGTGGGTTGCATCTCTTAAAAAAAAAAAACAGTTCGACAAACCAAACCCCAACTGCACCCAAACCATCCAGCTGAGAAAGCAAAAAGAATCCAAACAAAACCCACACAGGCCTGAGAATTCATTGGCCGCCCACACTCGCGCTGCCCCTCCCCCTCAGCTGCTGCTACACACACAGTGGGAGATTAAGGGATCACCAGAGGAGACCCTTTATTTTTATCCAATTCAGTCGAACACTTCCCCCAACACACACACACACACACACACACACACACACACACACAAGGTACCTTGACAACCGCCCCTTGTGTCCACGGCCCCTTTCCTTCACCAGCCTTTATTTCCACCTGCAAAAGAAGCCAGAGACGGATGAGCCAGGCTGGTGCCAGGAAAGCAGCGAAGTCCTTCTGCAGCACACTGAAGGGGAAGGAAGGCACGGGAAGGGAAGGGGCCTCGGGAAGAAAGCCTCGCAGGGACCATCTTCCTGTCTCCAGCTGCCGCCCAGACCTCGCTGACGGGCTATTCGCTCCCACTGTTTTGTTTTCCTTTTTTCAATCCTTCCGAAACCCAAGAAGGCTCTGCCCACCCCGTCTAGGTCCAGCCTGACCGGCCCTCCAGGCCCTGCGCGCTCTACCTCGGCCGGCCTTCTGCGGTGCGTCGGCCGCCGCCGGGCCTCCCATTATCCCCGGGCCGGAGGGAGCGCACAGAGGGAGGCACTGCAGAGGAGGCGGCGGCCAGCTGCCGGCTGCGCTCCCCTCCCCTCCCCTCCCCTCTCCTCCTCCTCTCGCCTCCTCTCCCCTCCGCCCGGCTGGTGTGCGAGGGGGCGGCGCGCGCGCCAGCCAATCCCGCGGCCAGCCCGGCCTCCACCGGTGGACCTGCCCAGCCGCAGGCCGGGGCCACCCCCGAGGGTGCAGCTGAGCTGCTCGAGCTGCTTCTCAGGCCTGTCGCGGCTCCCAGGCAGGCTGGAGCCTCCGGGCACACTCTGCCTCCTCTCGAGGATACCCGAAGGTAGTACACAGGCGTCCCCTACCCTGCCGGGGTCAAAGATTGCACCTGGGGTAGGGCACCGGCGGGTGGGTCTCGGCCCCTTCCAACTCCCCGCCCCACTCCGCCCCGCCCCACCCTCACCCTGGCAGCCACGGAGACATGAGTTTGAAGCTCTCTCAATCGCTTCACTCCTCCAAAAAGGAGGGGGAAAAAAAAAAAAAGCAGAGGGAGGCAGTGAGAACCTTTACCCTGTTTCACAGATGAGAAAACTCAAGACATAAATTACCCAAGGTGACACAGCTAGAACCCAGTGGCCTCCAACCCGGGTCACCCTGTCTCGTTTTGAAGATCAAACTTTTCACCAGCATGCAGTTTTACTCCTTACCCTCCTGCACCCACCTTAGAAAACAGGGTGCTTTAGGGAGTCCACACTGCCTGTACTTCAAACCTCCCCAAGTCGGCTCCTTGCATCTGCATCCCCACATCCAGGATCACTCACACCTGGTACTTAAAACATGCCCTCACCCCACCCCACCACGATTTCTCCTCTTCCAGAGGCTGCAGGAGATGCCCTTCCCAAGACTTTACTGGTCCCAGACTTCAGGGCTTCCCATCAGTAGAGAGACAGAGGAGGGGGAGCAGCTCAGACCTCAAAAATCTCTTCCCTTCCAGTTCTCAGATTCTAAGCCTATGAAGGCTGCAACACACAGGAGACTAAAGGGCAGACACCTGAAGAGCAACAACAGGGTAGAGAAAGGTTCTACAGTCCACTCCTAGATTTGAGTCTAAGGCATGCCTGGGCATATCTTAGCTGAACACCCCAGAACTCTGACTGTCTGACACCCACAAATTCAAGTTCGGTTCGCAGCTCCACTATTATCTGGCTAAGTGATAACTTACCTCTGTAAGCCTCACCTTGCTCATCTGAAGAATGAACTATCGGCTACTTCACACAGTTGTCAGGGCTCCCAAGAAGAAACGCAGTATATTGCCTGCCCCACTGTGGGTGCTGCTTGCTACCAGCACTTGGCATTTGTGGACGAGCTCACTGGGTGCTACCTCTCATTCTCACAGATGAGTAAGCTGAGGCCAGAGAGAAGTGACTCATAGGACTTGGGATGCGTGAGCACTCCTCCTGATCTAGTGATTCGCTCTCTTACCCACTCCCTTACAGATGCCTAATTGCTTTCCTCCCCAGGGCCTCAGGGAGTACTTAGAACACTTAGAACAGGATAAGCTACTTTGGTAGAGACAGACAGCAAAGCTGGCCTCAGGTGAGGAGGCTTCTGGCTGCACTGGGGCCCACACCTGCCTCCCCTTGGGGACAAAGGTCAGTTCCACCAGTCTCCTCCCAGGTCAGGGAAGGAGGCAGGTGATAAAAGAATAAGGCTGGGTAAAGTCCCTCCTTTATTCTGGCCCCCCAAACTCCTGTGATATAAGCTACCTTGCTTCCCTACACCCAGAAAAGAGAGCCTAATACTGCTTGGACAGTACCAATGAATACTGTGGCTTCTACCACTGCCAGTTTATCAAGCCCCTGCTAACATATCAGGCCCTATGCCAACCTCATTGCAGTATCATCTTATTTGACTTACTCCACATACAACCTTGTTTCTTATGGGAGAACAAGAGATATAGGGATTTTAAGTTACTTGCCTGTCAACACAGCTGGTGAGAGGCGGCTGAAATTCAAACCTAGTCCTTTCCCACTGCAATCCTCTAATCCCTCCTCTCTGCCAGTCCCAGGGAGACAAGGAGATACCTATCATTTCCTTTTAGATTCTCTTTCAGACCTGGGAGAATTCCCTGTGCTTCTGCTTGGAGCCCTCCCCTTCCCCAGCCCCCTGCCCCCCAAGCAAGCAGATGTGGCATGAGGTTCAATCTAAATAGTGCTTCCTCTCTGCAAATTTTTCCGTCATTGAGCCTCCCTACACATCACGGACTCCTACAGAGTTCTTATAGAGCACCTCTTCTAGGACACTGGTCAAGTCAAGTACAATTATTTACTCAACAGTCTGTCTTCCCCACTCTTCTAGGCTCTGCACAAAGCTAGAACATTCTTAGCTCAGTTTCTATATGAAGCAGCAAGGTTCTGGACTCTCCTAATTAGTCTTCTCATTGAGGTCCCCAAAGATCTAAGGAGACATGTACTCCTAAGAGGCAAGACCTGCCACAGCTGAGCTACAGCTAAATCCCAGACTTATCCAACCAATAGAGGCCTTCCTCACCTGCCTATAAGAACCATGGAGCCGGCTGGGCGCTGGTGGCTCACACCTGTAATCCTAGCTACTCAGGAGGCTGAGATCTGAGGATCTGGGTTCAAAGCCAGCCCCGGCAGGAAAGTCCGTGAGACTCTTGCCTTCAATAAACCACTCGAAAACGGGAAGTGGCACTGTGGCTCAAGTGGCAGAGCACTCACCTTGAGCTGAAGAACACAGGGACAGCGCCCAGGCCCAGCGTTCAAGCCCCACAACTGACCAAAAAAAAAGAACCATGGAGCCAAGTTCCTGATTTATCTCCCTATACTATGCTAACACAGCTCTACCCTCTCCAGCAGCCCTTGGCGACCCCAAAGGAGATTATCATCTACAAGGTAGTCTACCTGCTACCATTCTCATCCCATCCTGACCTCCTTCCTCTTCTGAGGCACCTTGGAATGCCAAAACTTGAGAGAAATGCATGCCAAGGCCACTCAGCCTCCATCCAGGATTTTTTACTCCTTTCTTGACCTCCTCCCAACTCTGTGCCCTCTATATTTGTAGAAGCACTTGAGGCTCCTCCACATAGGATCCCACTCCCGTCTTCCATTGCAATCCACTGCATGCCCAGCAAGAAGGATAGGACCACAGCCCTTCCACTGGGGAAAGGTGAATGGACTTCACACAGATAAAGACCAGGGACTGAGAACACATCTGGACACATGGTTGGAGGGCTCTGTATCTGAAAGCATTGCATACAGTATCTTATTTAAACATTAAAACAAGTCAATGCAACAAGAACTATTCAGGCCCATTTTACAGCAGGAGAAACTGGGATATAGAGAGGGTTAGCATCTAGCCCAAGGTCACACTGATAGAAGAGCACTAAGGTTAGTATCTCCTCACTTAGGGTAGTACAATTCAAGGACCACTATGATTAGCACTATGATGTTCAAATTTACCTACTTCACTTACAGCTAGCAGAAGATAGAGGCAGACAGGCTTCTCATCTTTTCCTGTTTTGGCTGTGTCCTGAATGAGGTCTCTACTGGGTTTTCCTTCAAAGATTTCTCCAGGAAGCCACCTCTGGCTAATCCAGCTTTCTACAGGCGTATATCACTTCTAACATTTCTCATTTGACACCTGAAAGTTGTCTGTGTATGTGTGTCCTGCCTCCCCAGTCACAATGGCTGGAGTCTTGCCTGCCCAAAGCTCCTGTGCGTTTTTGCCCAACATTCCACCCACCGAACACACTTGGAATCAACTGTGAGAAAAGTCTGTGACCTCCTTCCCTTTTGATCACACAAAGGATCCTGCTAAAGAAACCCAACACCCACTCCACCTTCAGAGCCTATGTTTGAAGTCCCCGGTGTCCACGCATCCATTTCCACCCAAGTAATTGCAGCCCATCACACATACATCATCCCCTATATTGGAAACTCTTTGCGGTTGTCATGGGAACTGCCTTTGCCTTCATTCACCGATCAGGCCTCACAATTAGCTTTGGCAGCGGAAGTCTATGTCAAAGGCAATCGCAGGGAGGAGAGGAAGCTGAGCAGCAGCAAGAAGAAGAAAAAAAAAATGTGTCCCTCCTTGAAGATGCAACAGATCCAAACTGAACCAAAGCTTTCAGTGTCCAAGGGAATCAATCTATTGAGAGAGAGCCAACAACTCCACCCTCTCACTTCCATGCCAACAGATAGGATGCACCCACAGCCTCTGACAGGTAGCAATCCATCTTCTGTCTATACTCCAAATGCCTTCTTAAAACACCTATGAGATGTTCTGTGAGCCCAATCAGGAACTCTAAACCCTAAATTCAAGTTTTGAACCATGAATATCCAAAGCCCAAGACCATATGATGCTACACAGAAGACAAGACAGCAAGGCTTAATGCTGGAGCTCCCTAAGACAGCCCCCAAAGAAGACTTCCTTGAGGAATTAACACAAAGCATCTAACCGTCCTCCTCAAGAATCTATGAACACCAGCCTGTCTTTAGCCTTCTATCCTTCTCCCAGCCACAAGCATTTCAGTAGCATCTCCACAGTGGGCAGGGGCAGAGACAATACCATCCTTTTCATCCTTTATTACACTGAACCTCTCAAGACATGTTCCTTTCCTTCCCAGCAGGGCCAAAAGGGGCCCAAAGGAGACTAAAGCT